CCATATAATTTGTGTTGTCATAGCGTAAGATAAAAAACAAAAGATCATTTTAGAAATATCCGAGAATTCGTTTTAATGTAATATAATCAGTGTTGTCAATTTTTTGTTCTATTGATAAAAATTTTATTCTATTCTAAATTCTATTATTCTATTCTATTGTTCTATTGTTCTATTTGTTTTTTGCTATATTAATATTAATTATAATCTAGTTGTCGATTTTTTGTTCTATTGATAAAAATTATATTCTATTCTAAATTCTATTGCTCTATTGATAAAAATTATATTCTATTCTAAATTCTATTGCTCTATTGTTCTATTCATCTATTGTTAACAACACCGAATATAATATAATAGATATAATAGCATTAGTATGCGATAGCGTTGTAATAAAATAATGTAATATATCATAATATTATCTTTCACTATACAGTATAGATGGCGTATATGATTCTTATTTTTTTATTTTTCATAGCAATAGGCAATAGACAATATTTCTATTATTTTTTTATTAAATTATTTTTTCGAAAGTAAATAAATTACAGTATTGTAAAAGTACGCGTTATTTGTGATAATTTAATATTTGAGACTATTTGAGACTATTTGAGACTATTCGAGACTATTTGAGACTATTTGAGACTATTTGAGACTATTTGAGACTATTTGAGACTATTTGAGACTATTCGAGACTATGATCGAACAGAAAAGTTCTACCCAATAATATCGTAGATCATAGATCATTATGGTCATATGATAGTCATGTGACTGATGATTATCAGTTCTAATCGATTAAAGAAATATCTCTCTATTGTAAAATGTTCTACAAAGCTAAACTTTGGCCCAAAGGGGTTACACCAAAATATTCAACGTAATAAAACAATTTACCGAGCATAGTTTTTTTTATCTATAAATTTCTAAAAGATGTTAAAGTAACATCTAAAGTTACTTTAGATAAGATAAAGTCGTACACTGAGAAAGGGAATATCTAAAGAAATAATAATTAAGGGATAGTTAATAATAATTTGTTTGTAAACTAAATGCGTTATATTGCATGCACACTCTAAATTGTAAACAAACCATTTTATAACAATAAAGGACGTTAGATCGTTTAACGATGCACGTCAAACAACAAAAACAGAACCTAAAGCTAACAATGCTTTAGATGTGACAACAATGGACAATCGTTCTCAGTTAACTTCCATATGTATAATAAGTACGGCATTTTTAGAATGCACGACATCTTGTGTCATTAACGTTTTTGTGATAAAGTTGAAATGGGTAAAGATAACATGAATATTCCGTGATTTAGAAATAGTAATGTGCATTGATATTTTGTGTGATAGTTAAATTTTTTTTTTAAAAAAAAAAAAAATCGGGGTGATTACGTATGTGATTCGATATATCAGAACATCTATAATATCTATAATATCTATAATATCTATAATATCTAAAATATTTATGGAGAAAGTCTATTATTGGTTATATGCTACCATAACAGTTTGGGTTTGACTACTTAATTAGACCACTATATTGTTGAGGGTTTGTGAATCATTAAAACTTGGCTTTGCAATGAAATACTTAATTAATAACATGGTGGTTACCTTTATTTATTTTATCCTTGTTTTATACATTGCTTTTATACAGCACTGCTTTTATATACTGCTTATGCAAATATATGTAAAGCCTTGTCACATTATACATTTAATAAACCATGTACATTAAATATTAAATATCATTATCATTATGAAAAAAATTTTTTTTTTAAAGTTTGTTGTAGTTGTGGTACACGATATTTTTAACAAAGATCCGAGAACAACGTGTTTAGTAATCAATATTGGTTAAAATTATATCTTGGAATTTTTAACTCAATAGGTTTTTTTAAGCCTAGTCTTGCCACGTATGGAATATCCGGCCATCTGTAATTAGATGCTCAAACACTTAAAATATTTCAACAAAGAATTTTTAAAAGATGGAGATCAACTCCGAAAACAAAGACTAACACAACCAATCCTAAATGATCATAGATCGTTTATTTAACTAAAACATCTGCCTTTTTTAAAACCGTAAATGAACAAATAACTCTGAAACATTCCAAAACATTCTAGACTTTTAATACTTTAATACTTTTAGTACTTTTAATACTTTTAATACTTTTAATACTTTTAGTACTTCTAATTTTTTATTGCTACATTAATCTACGTTAATCTACATTTATTTACATTTAATCTACGCGAAATTTAATGTCCCAAATTCGGAACCTGAATTTATTAAATGGGGGCTTTTTATTTTTATAAATGATTTTATACTAGTATAATCATGAGTTAGCCCATGAGTAAGAGTTAATTAATCTCTACGTATGTATGCCTGTATGCTGCATCTGATTATATAGTATTATTCAAAAAAATATATTTTTTTCAAAAACCTGTTTTCGGTTTGCAACGATCTGTTATTTAAAATAATAATAAATAAACTTTTTAAACTTTGTAAAAAAAAAAATAAATTTTACTAAATTTAAACATTCGTAATCTGGATTATAAAAAGCTTAAACTTTATTGTTATCTAGATTTAATCCCGGTATACAGTGTTATGATTACATTACACACACCATTAATAAACTATATACGTAATATTAAAATATATCGATATCCACGTTTTTTTGTTTTTTTAATTATTTAACCCTTGTAAAAGATATACCCCTGTCTACCGATTAGCATTTATATACCTGATACAGTATATATTTATCCATTTGTAACTCCGTAATTCCTTAGTATATAATTGTTATTTAGCGGTAGAGATTAGCGTTAGATTTATGTTTACATATATTCTGCACACGTTTTAACATATCTTGTATATGGGATCATATATCGATAATATCGATATAGAATCTTACATAGAATCACAGAGAATCATACTACATAGAATACTTAGAATTGGTTTTATTAATTGCCCATCGTTTCTACCTAAGTACGTACATACTTACCCTCTTGTTACTTTTCGATTTTAATTAAGACTAAAAAGGAATATGTTGACTACGGCTTCTTAGAGTATCCTAATCTGTTTTTGATTCTTATTTTTTTCATACTTTTCTACATGTTTAAAATAAAAACTGCAATGAGACTATTTAGAAATAAATTTGTAAAACTTTCTCGCGGAGACCCTAGCTTTCTTGTGAAATGCAACCATGTAATGTGATGCAGCGCCAATGTTCATTTGATAATTCATTTGTTATTCATTTACTATTTCAAGTTATTATAAAAGTTTTATATATAATTTAGGTTTTGGGAAATCATTATCCGACTAGGTTAAAGTTTTCGTTTGTCATTTCTAAAGTTTATCTTTTGTGATAATGAATTTCCGATCTTAGTTCAAGTGTGAAAATAAATGCATCCGTATCTTCCCGGTGTTTATCTTTTATCCAATTTTAATCTACTGAAATTCTTTCCATATTCATTGAAAAATCCCTTATTAAGTTGAACCTTTTTATATGATCATTAGGAAAGGATAAATTGTCTTTTATCTAATCACTTATTGTGTGTGACTGTTCAACCAATTTAAGGAGTAATGTCATCTTTAATGTCACCATACCCTTCTAAATTGATTTAGTTGAACGAAAAATAATAATTACACAAACTTGTTAAAAGGTTCAGCTGACAAATCGTTACAAAAAAAAATTTTTTTTGGTGGCTTTTACCGTGCTGTTTTTGAAAATTTTTTTCATTAACGTTAATACGGTAATATATATATGTATGAACTATGTATTTATACTTTTATGTACGTATGTTTATTAAATTTAACGTTGATACAGTAATGTCAATAAATGAAGCATGTAAAACAAAGTCATTTTGTTTTCTGCGTCAAATTAATCATATAATCATACGTATAATCGAGAGGGAACGCATTTAATTGATCATTGATTAAATTAAAATAATTAAATAATTAAAATAGATTAAAATAACTTTAAAAATTTAAAGTGTATAAACTTTTTTGAATTTCCAAAAAAATCGGACAAGATTGAAATGTTTTTTCTCAAAAGTTTTAATAAAATCCAAAAAGAGACCAAGTACATAAGTATGTGAAAGAATTTTTTTTTTTTTTTTATTTTTTTAGCGTGAAAGTGAATTATATATTTTTAAACTTTGAATTCATAGAATAGATCGATCAAAAATAAATGAATAAACTTTTAATTGCTCGTGATAATCTATCTATAGATTTTAAGTTGCATCTAAATATATTGTGATAGAACCTAGGTGATGTGCTCTCTAAAAAGAACAATTAGATGACAATTAGATGACAATTAGATGTTTGGGTTTTCTAAGGGATACGTTCTTTTTGTATATATACATGCTGTATACTGTATATAATATACATGGACATTACGTATAAACATTATAATTGCGTATCATATTTATATTTATATTTTATATACGTACGTATCTTATATCGATATATACACATATTCACACGTATATTTTTATTTATTAACGTTAACGTTAATTTCTCTTTTTAATTTAATACATCCCTAAACTTGGCACGTATATCATGTCACTACGTAGTTAATTTTTAATACTTTTCCCATACACATACTACTGTTATCCATACATATGCTACTGTTATCTATCAATATATCCATCAATAATCTATCAATATTTTCTATATATTACGTCAAATTAGCATATTATGATCGTATACATTTCGTTGATGCATTCACGGATAATTCACGGATAATTCACGGATAATTCACGGACATATTCATGGATACATTTGTGGATACATCTGTGACGTATAATCAACCCATGCATACATTTTAATAAAATACATTACATTTTTATTAAAAATTGTCAAGAAAAAAAAAAAGACCCTTTTATTAAACCCGTAACGCGAAATTGCGAAATTGCGAAATTACTCAAGATTTGTAATTTGTATAATGTGATTATTGATATTGAATATACAATATTTTGAAGACAATAATACAATAATACAGTATTAAAGTATAATAAAGTATAATGGAGATAAAGTATAATAGAGCCGATAATGAGAATAATGAGAATAATGTGAATCAAGAATTCTGGGGTAAAAGAATAAAATTATAGGGGAATGTACAGTATCAGTATTAAGGGGCTTACTTGTAAGTATGATGATCCATGGGCGGACGCCAAAAGTAATAATTGACAGTTTAAGAAAATAATTTATCCGTGCGTAGTTTCATAATATTTTAAACTAGCATACTTTCGCGTATAATGCACGTACATACATGTTGATGTACATTGTCAAAAAAAAATTTTTTTAATTTTTAATTTCTTATCTAACAGAATTTTATTAAAAATAATATCATAATGAATGGTTCCTTTGTTCAAACTGTTTCGAATATAGTGAATACAGTGGTGCGAGTATTCCGAATAATGATAATTCCTGTTTTGGAAAAAGTGATGCCACACTTTGTTTTTGAGAAAATTATGGGGAAGACTCACGAACGTAGGACGAAATGCGAGGGGTAAAAGAAAATGTATGAAATATTAATCTAACGTGCTAATATGCTTGATAATATGCTAATAATATATTATGTAAATTAACAATCGTTATGTATAATCGTTTGTATGTATAAAGGTGTATAAAGGTGATGTTATGGAATTTATACGCATTAACATAATTAACACATACCAGTAATTAACGTACGGAGTATTAATAGTTAACATTAACGTAACAGTAACAGTAACAGTAACATTAACGTTGGATTTTTTGGTCAGGTGAGACATACATTGATACATTGATACATTGATACATTCATACATTCATACATGCAAGTACTTTCAGGAAAATCAAAGTTCATTTTATGCAAACAGGAAAATCAAAGTTCTTTTTTATGCAAGTTTCAAGAAAAGAACCAATCCTAAACATTAAAGGGGAAAAAGAATCTAAGAATACAATCAATTCAATTCACGTTCGTACGTTTAATCGAGTCACTGACATGCACGTACGTACGTTATTAGAATATGAAAAAGGTAGTTTCAAATGTCAGAATAAAAAGTGGCTTGATTTTCAACCAATGATTAAACTTTATGCTAGGATCACTGGATGCGCCTTTTCCCCGCTTGAATTGTTTATGCTTTTTGATTTGCGCGATAAACATTAAGCATTGTGGAGGTGCATATATTAATCTTTTTGTTTACAATGACTGACAATTTACGATAATATTAGTTTATAATAGTTTATAATAGTTTATACACACAATAGTTTACAATAATTTACAATAGTTAGCCTGATTAACATGGGATTTATTAATTTATGCTCATGCAAAACTTGACAGATTCGACAAATACCGGGGTCATGTTTGACATACAAAGGATGTCAAATCATAATCATACAGTGCGTTATCATCAGCATATAACTAAATATCGAAAAAAAAACAAAAATATTTATCGTTCTATAAATAAACAATATTTTGATAACAATTAATTGAATGATAATCGGCCGAAAATTAATTTATTAATAACTATTAATTCTATTTAGAAATGAATCCACCAATGAGTATTTGAAATTATTTGAAATTGTAGAATCACATGACTAAACCTCAATGTGGTAACCAATTAAAACCTATGAAAGGTATCGATATCGATATAGTGATTGAATACAAATTTCATAATTTAACGTTATTTAACGTTATTTAACGTTATTTAGCGTTATTCAGCGTTATTTAGCGTTATTCAGCGTTATTCAGCGTTATTCAGCGTTAGCGTTAGTGACAGTAAGATTCGTACGGTACAAGATACATGTTATATACATGTTTTACTTTTATACTTGTTATGCCTGTTATGCTTTTAATATGTTACTTGTTATGACAGATCGAAGATCTGTCTGCATCTTTATTGATTTTGTTTTTGAATTCTTGGTTTTGAACTGTCAAAATAATAGATTAATACGTAGATACAACGTGTTAACGTGTTACTTATTTGCTGTAAACTTGTGGTAATGTTTACTTGTTTGATATCTACATATCTATTATTTGATATTTATTATTGCAGTATTTGACATATGTACATCATATTAAATCATATATGAAGAATCGGGATCGTCGCAGATTGTGTTCGGTCTGTAGATCAATGTGGCTTATCAACCTTAAACAATAGTTTTAATCGTTATAGATAATATTATATTCATTATATATTCATTATATATTCAATATATACTCAATATGTATTCAATATATTCAATATGTATTCATATATATTCATAGGATAAATAATGCTACTATACATGGCTTTTAAAAGAAATGGATCAAATTGTTCTATCAGAACCCATGAGATTGTCTTTTCGGCAGTAGGGAGGTTAGTTTAGCATTGTCCAGTTTTTTACTATATCAATATGTAATACCGGATATTTAAATTCCCACTTGTTAAACAAACCCTACTACCGGTAGTTATTTGTTTACTATTCTTTTAATTATTAATTAAAAATACCATTTTACGTCACTATTGTATTATAAAACGAAAGGTGCATACAATTACTAACAGTAACAATTAAATTTATAATTGACAATTAATGTCATGTCCGATGTGCTTATTTAATTTTTTTCTAATTAAACAATCCGGTACGTTCCTAATTTGTTTATTTTGAAGTGTTTTCTTTCCTAATTTTCTTCTTTGTGCTTTTTGACTTCCACTTATAGTCGTTTTATAAACAATAACATTTCCAATATTATTCAAATGTTTTTTAAACACGCATGTCTTGATAGCGTGGCAAATAAGCAAAAAGTTGTTTCATGCAAAATTATAAAATCCGTGTCAATAGTTTGCATTGTTTTTCATCTTACAAAATAATATTAAATTTCACAAACCCTTTGATTAAACATTATAAACATTATTAAAACATTATTAAAACATTATTAAAACATTATTAAACATTATTAAACACATTGTTTTTTAATATGAAACGCACGTTATGTAGTTATGTAGTTATGTAGTTATGAAGTTATGTAGCTATGCAGCTAGCTATGTAGCTATGTAGTTTGTAAATAAAAACGTATGAAAACCATTACGAGTTTTAGAAGACAATTGAACTTACCGGAAATGCGGGTACTGACTTTCTGATCTAAAAATAACAATGCGGAGAGAAATTAAACCGTATGATATGCCTATACTGTATTACTGTATTTTGACGTAACTCGTGAATAATAGTTTAAATAAATCTATAGTTCTTAACCGAATAACTTATGATATTTATGATGAAATAGGCGATCAAATGTGTCAATGCGTAATGTTGAAAAAACAATCGATTTACCTTGCAAGGAACACAAACAGATCTTACTTGCCTAATATGGTTTCTGATCTTGCGTTCAGTTAGAAAATGAATAGAAAATAATTATATTTTGTTTTGATTGATTCTTTACCGTTTACTCCGCTCTGATTAATGCATGCATACTGTACACATTTTTTCCTTCTCCTTATTAAAAGTAACGGTATTTTAAATAATATTTAGAGATCATTTAGATATCATTTAGATAATATTTAATTATTTAAATTATATATAAATTATATTTAGATAATATTTAGATAATATTAGACGCGGTACATTAATTCATTCGTTTTTCAATAAATATCAAATGCTTAATATCATTTGTCTCTGTAATACGCGTCACACAACGTGTAATTTTCAACTACTTGTGTAATCAGATAAAAACAATTAATCTACATAACTTTTGTAAAACATTCTAGTTCGTTGTACATGTGATGATCTTTGCGCAACCATAATACCATAGTCCGGAGTAATTTCATGGAATTCACCTAGCATTCATCGATCGATTTATTACGTAAATGGTCAGGAGAACATTTTTTATGCAAAAACTTGTTATATTTGTGAAATTCCTATTATACGATTTCTGATTATGTTATAAGAATTTCTTATTAAGGCTATTTATTATATTTATGATATTTATGATATTTATGATGTCAGGAATACGTAAGAAAAACTGCGTGCTTTGTAAGATCTATTTTTTTTTGGATAAGAATATTATATAGCAGATCAATAGGCATATCAAATCATATTATTGAGAATAATCCGAATTGTGTGTATTCAGTTTTTACACGCACGAATCATCGTTCTTACTTTTAGATCGAGGTAAATGGAGTGGATCTTGATCAAAGTTTATTTGAAACATGGTCTGTGAGCTTAACCACTTTTACTATATGTGATCCTATCAAATTTAAGGTTGTTTATAACCTTAATACTATTACAAACAATAATCATAAAATCCATTCTGTTATTATCAATTGTATTATCAATTGTATTATCAATTATATTATCAATTATATTTAATATCAATTATATTATATATCAATTATATTATCAATTATATTACTAATTATTATTTTCATCATTTTATTGAAAAGAGATAATGTTGAGATCATGTGTTTCATTACTATATTTTATAGCGATAACGATAATCGTCATGTTAATCATGTTAATGTGGATATGGATGTTAATGTGGCTTGAACAAGGTTTCGATCTATCCATAACAGTTTGTGATGCATAACGATAATAAATAAAATACGTGACGAATTATCGTTATCAATATCGATATTGATTTTTAAATAATTAATTCTCATGTGATTTTAATGTACTTTTTTACCATTAAATTAATTTGGAACCGTCTCATTATTATAGTTATTTAATTATTGAGTACAAAGTATATTTGCAATAAAAAAATTATTTGAATAAAACTTCTTTGTTCTAGTTTGTTTCTCAACTTGCATAATTAAAAACAAGTTATTTAGATAAATTTTAATTCGGGATAAATTATTAATCTACAATGTTTCATTCCGAAACTTGGCAAAATTGCAGGATTCACACTCCTAAACATCCTAAACATCCTAAACATCCTAAACATCCTAAACATCCTAAACATCCTAAACATCCTAAACATCCTAAACATCCTAAACGTCGATAGTCCATTGTGTAAACCTTGAACAACGTATATCAATTTATCGCCAATGTATCATAATTGCAAGATTCACACATCTAAACATCGATAGTCCATTGTGTAAAACTTGAACAACGTCCATCAATTTATCGCCAATGTATCGTCAATGTATCGTCAATGTATTGTCAATGTATCGGATGGAAAAATGTTTATTCAATTTGCTCCTAATTAAATTTTTACATGCGGTTCGGAATCCTATTAATTTTGAAACAATAATTGTCGCAAGTTGTCACACTGGTCAGTGTCACGATACGACGAAAGTAGCTTTATTTAACACACATTGTTATAAATATATTTGGAGGTGTCACTGTTGTTTGAGCAATAATCATCTCCGGTCATGAATCTGATCCATTGATAAGGAGGTACGTACACAAACTTTTCCTCTATAACTTGCATATCGATTTTATCGATTACACTTACACAACAAGCAAGGGTCTGACAGTAATATACGGTAATATGTTTAAGATTTGGTCACAGACGTATTTTTCGTTCGAGACGATGATTTTAATAATGCAAGTTGCTTATCTTTGAATATCAAAATCTATTTTAAACACAATGAAGGTTCGAGTCCTTGTAATCGTCCTTGTCATTCGTATCGTATCATTCGTATCATTCTTATATCATCCTTATATCATTCATATCATTCATATCATACGTATCATAACGTATCTTATTAATTTTGACAGCGTCCGCGCGTAACAACGGTATTCCTCCGATTATTATTGATTATTATTATCTATTTACTGTATTGAATTATTATTGATTATTATTATTATCTATTTATTGAATTATTATTTCAATAAAATAAATGAATAAATGCATACTCAAATTTACTGCAGAAATTAAGCTGCGAGATAAGTGTACATGCCAAGTATTGAACTTTTTGACATATTTCTCCTTACCAAAGAATAAATTCAAAGACACACAATATTGACATTATTGAAAAACGTTAATGCATCATATATGCGTCGTTATATTTATATTGTTTTCATAAAAAAAAAAAAAAACAATCTTTATAAATATGAACTGTAAAAATAGTGTCTGTTACCTGTACTCCAAAAATAGAAAATGGTGTCACTTTAGAAAGGAATTATATGTTAGTATATATTAAACTATTAAAGTATGTAATTATTATTAAAGAAATTTTTATTAACCTATTTATCAGTGTCAGGGAATCGTTCGCCGGAACTGTCCACTATTTTAAAATTTTTCTCGATAAACCTATTTTGTTAAAACCTAGAGTCCCAAGCTTATCCATTCATTAGCTGTCAGAATTTTGGCTAATATCGTATATCTTATATTAAAGCCACACAAACAATTAAATCAGGTTAGATACATGGTCGCTCAAAAAAAAAACAAAGGATGATTTAAACAATTATATATATGGTTTTTATATTAAAATTTTATTTATACATTTTATATTCCCGACTTTATTTATAATATATTGTATCTACTTTTTTTTTATTTATTTATTTATTTTTTTTTATACAATTTAAAGTAAAAAGAGAATGCACTTATTTATATTGGGAAAAATTAAATATTGACCTTTGTTCGTGAAAATTGTTATAAATCCTACCTCTCTTTCAGCAGTTTCTCACTACGAAACTAAACGGTTTTAAAAAAAAAAAAAAACTTGTTAGTTTTTCAAAGTAATATATTCTTTTCGTGAGAGAAAATTTACTAATTTTCTCTACACAAAACCTTTCACATATTAATAATTGAACGAATTAATAAAGTATATAAAAAAAGAACAACGTTTATTCGTTTGCTCATTTGCTATTACTTTCATATCTGTAGGTAGTAGCATACTTTTATAAACTTCCAAAAAAATCAGTTTTCGACACAAGAAAAAAAAAAACGCTTTCAAAATGCCGTCACCAACATTTGCGCAACCCACTTCAAAAGCCAATGCTAACAATGAATTAGTGTTCGAAGTGTTAGTTCCACCCTCTCCTACCGAGACGGCTACTCACCAACCGTTGAGAACCAGGACCAAACGTATCAATTGTAATCATACAAGTGGTAGGGTTTACTGGATCCCGGAAGGATATTCTTGCGTCCTGGTTAGGACCGCCGATCTTCCTTTGCTTGTGGGAGAGAGTCCATTGCCTTCTCCAACATACGACTCTGATGAATCTACTTACTAAGCTCCTTCGTCTTTTTCATGAAATACTTTTTCCCACACTTGAAAAAGAATATGAAATGACGAAGAAGTTTATGTTTATTCTATTAATATCTTATATCATATATATTCTTATCGGACACTCACATATATATCCTTTACATCTTTAATACTCGCCACACAGAAATTGGTTCAAAAAAAAAAAAAAAGGACAAAAAAAATACTTTTAATGAACATTACCAATTTTTGTTCTTTCGACCTTTTAAATGTGTCCGCAACGATCGAAAAAATCTCAAAATTTTTCACTTTCTTTTTCCGTTGACCGGGGAAAACTTTGCAATTTGAATTTTTTTTCCCGCATAGATGTGTAGATAGTTTTTTTTCCCTTATAAATATTTTTTTATGAGACAAAAAAAAAAAAAAGAATCCCTTTATCTTGTGCATAAACTCCCTTTCTTTAATCTCAAAATATTGACGTGACATTAAGATTTTTAAGTTGAGAACACTTATCTTTTTGCCGTCACATTCCCTTTGTAATATTTTCTCCCTTTTCGATTATATAGATTTACCCTTTATTAGTCACCCTTGCCGAAAAAAAAAAAAAAGAAATTAAAACATTGTTTCTATTACCCAATAACTCAAAAAAGACATTTGTTCTCTCGAATAACAATCATCCCCAATCTAAGCGTTAAAAAATATATGGGCACAAACCAAACCACCCATAAAGCCGAAAAAAAAAAGAAAACCAAGCAATCAAAATTAATAATTGAGTAATCTCTAATTATTTACTCTTTTTAATATTTTGATTACATCAAGACTTTATGGATTAAGATTAAATTTTTAGATTAAGTTTGTTTTTTTCTGCACGATTCATTATCTCTTCCTAACTTGAGTTATGAATGTAGCGTTAAAAACAAAAATTCTTTTTATGTAATTTTTTTTTTCCTTTTGTTTATATATAATTGATTTTTTTTTAAACTATGATCTCCCTTTTTTTTCATTTTTATTTTTTTTTATTTTTTGCCCTTTTTTTTATATGTATATATATGTAACATTAGCTCTTCTTTTTTTTTTATATTTCGTGAACGATAAATTTAATATTTTTCGATTTAACCCAACCTTGTAGTAGTTTTGTAGGAGGAGTGGTGTATATATGAGGAGATGATAAAACCAACAGTTTTTTATTTAAACTGTAAAAAAATATAAATTGAATTATATTAAACTTGTCGTTTAAAAAAAAAAAAAACTTTACATATTTTCGTTTTGTCTTTGATTTTGTTTTATTTTATTTTATTTTCGTTATTGGGGAAATTGAACATGTTTTGATTTTCTTTTTTTTTTTTTAAAAAAAAAATAAAAATAAAAATAAAAATAAAAAATAAAAATTACGCAATTAACAACTGACAAAAAAAAGTAAAAAGATTTGTAAATCTTGGTAAATCTTGGTATACGGACCGTGTTTTCAAATGAATTTTCGTGACTAATAGCTAACGCGTTGTTTTTGCGCGATCAATTATTAATATTCATTTTGAATTTGTTATTCATGAATTTAAAAAAAAAGGTTATACGTACGTACGTACGTACGTAGTTGTCCGCGAAGACTTCAAGAAAAGACTTAATTGCCGCGCCACAATTTATATATTAAAAGTAGGCCCAAGTAAAAAAGTTCAATGAGCGACGATCATCAGATTAAACAATAAAGCACCCCGCACGATGACACAACATAATTACTCTTCCGTATGATCAAACGTTGATAACTTCCCACTTCCCGTGATTTACCTGATGCTAAGAAGGAGACCATTACGTCGAATTGCTACTGAAATCAGGTGATTTTGACAATCCAAATTCATTAAATTGTTCTTACAATAATATCAATGGTCAAAATTAGAGTTTCTGTAAGATTGTACTCCTCAATTCAAGAGATCCTTGTAAACCAAAAAATTTCTTGACATTGAATTGAATGGCGCCATATTCATGTTACATACAGGCGGAAGAAGAATTAGATACTTCATCTTTGTTATATTTTATCTTTCGTCATCTTTTTAACTATCTTGATTTGAAAGAATTTTTTTTATATTGATTTAAAATGCTGTATATGTAGTATATATGTACAAGGCTCAAAATTTTATTTCAAAATTAAAACTTTGTGGCATTAAAAGAATTAAACTGAAAAAAAAAAATCATTATAATTTTGCATTAATATTTATCATGCTTGACCTCCTTAATTTTTAATTTTATTCGTAACTAAAAACCATTGTAATCTCTTACGTGAATCAATGTTTTAAAAAGTTTAAAATTTTTTTCATAGAACGTTTCATAGAACGAAAGACTTGATACTCAAAATCTGCATTCATTATACCATTTTGATTTGATGACTAAACATGTTAACATTAGTGATAGAAAGTTCACTATCAGGGTTAGAATCAGGCATGGTTGTTTTATATTTGTAATTCGTGTTATGTCTGATGTAATGAATGAATATTTAGAGGAAACGCGAATTTAGAAATGACAAGTACACAACGTACTAATGTTTGTAGAAAGCCGTACAGTACAAATTACACTTTCTGAATTTTTTCGTCGGTAAAAGAAAAAAAAAATTAAAAATGGACAAGCTTCGTCGTGAAACCGTTCACAAATTTAATCGTAGCGTTGTACAAATTTACATTGAATAACGAGAACCATGTGAATCGACAATTTTTCATGACTTATAAGGTTTTGATAGCATTCATATATGCCTGAATATCGAGAATGCCGACATAATACGTACGTCCTTACGTACGAACGTAGATAGTTTATAATATTTGGCTAGTGTGTTACTGCCGTAATCACCATTAAACTTACCCCAGCATTTTATATATATACTCCACACAATATTTATCAAACAAACAAAACTGGTTTTTAATTGTTTTATGTCGAATGTGTTTGCCGGGATTTCCTCATTTTATTTTCTTGCGAAACGTGTCAAATTAAACATTTCTGATTCGTTAATACAAAAATTTATCTAGTCGAGGTATTAAAATCGTAGTGACGCAGTAAAATACGGAATTAACCATTAACTCCGTCCAAATATTCAATAAACCTTTTTTCGCGTAAATGAATGCGCGATATATTGATACGATGCATTTTATGGTTTAACTTGGTAATATCTGACATTTTATAAAAGCCTTTTTTTTGTTAACAAATATGCTACGTAGTAATATATATGAATATATGCTACGTACGTAGTAATATATATATATGCTACGTAGCAATATATGTAATATATGTAATATATGTAATATATGCTATATGCTAGCGATATAAGTAGTACGCTAGTAATATGCTAATAATATGTAGGCAACTTAATAATATTGATGCATAAACTCGTGAAAAAACCGATAAATATCAGCCCTTTAGCTTTTGATCTAACCTCTTAAATCAACAGCACTGCACCAAATCTGAGAATTGCACACACGCCGTCAGTTTTATTTAAACAAAAATAAAGACACATGATGTTAACCTTTACAAACCGATCTCTACTTGTATCTTTCTCCCGTCAAAAAGAACCATTAATATTGGTTTATTCTCTTAGAGAACATGAGTTACCAATCAACTTTAATATATATATATATACATATATGGATTCCACAATTTTAAGGACAAACTAATCCTCGTAAGATTGTAATGTTGTGCCATATTCTTGCAGGGTTTGCAGGGTTATTACCAACATCACAATATAAATATTGTTCATGATCCAGGAAATGATTCTCTTTCGTTCTTTCGTCAAAACTCTAACATAAACTACATATATGCAATTACGCATTGACCATTCGAAAAGATATAGAAATTCCCTGACTCCTTGGTTAATATAACTATACCTGGAAGCGTGTCATTTGACCCTTGATCAATAAGCTGTCAGTTTTCTGTTGCCTTTCTTGCTTCTGGAAATTTCATTCTTGGAATTTGCATGAATCGTTTGTATAGCAATATAGATTTATATTTATATTTATATGTTTCACCGTATCAGGTTACCAAATTTCCTTTGATCGATTGGCGCTAATCTTTCATGTAACACGCATCGTCTGATTGATTGATAAATACTTTCCCATATGGTGCTTGAAACAACGCCTAATAAGTATCACATGACATGAAAAAACAAATGAATTAAAAATTGTTGTTTTCTGAGTTAGAAAAATAAACGTTGTTAGTAATTTTTTAATTGATCAACATTTACTGCATGGGCACTTCGAAATGACGATTATACGAGAAAGTTATAGTGGCGTTGATTCATCATCCCCACTCTATGGATACTATCCTATTTGTGATTTATGGCCTCAGTGTTAACAAAATTTGGATTTCTGAAACACTCGATTAATGTCGATCAAGTTTCATTGTGAAACTATGCCATTGACAAAACAATGGTTTGACAAATTTGCTCACCAATCCGTTTTCGGAAACTATTGTCTACTAGCCCAAAGTTGGTCTTACCGTTCTTGAAATTACAAGATTTTTTTTTTTTTTTAATCTCAACGTTTACTAACATTACCGTTGATGACCTTCATCTTATACTAAGTTTAGTGTAGTGTACAAATGTTAATGCAGAAATCATAGTATATTACTTGATCTTTATCCATACAAATTTTCTTGCAGTTACTTTCTAACTCTCTAAAGATATTAGGCAGTGAGGATGACTATCAACTCTGCATTTGATATTGTCCTTGTTTTTTTCCCTCTAACTTTTTATCGAGCATTAATTTACGTCATTTACTTAATAATATGCATAACTGAACTCATTATTTTGATTTTTTGCTTGCTTTAAAGTTTTTTGTTTAATTTTCAAATGATTACATTTTTTTTTTTTTGTTACCGTAAAGTTGACATGATTAATTTACACTTACTGGTACATAATACTTGGTTACAATTGACACAGTTTGAGTTTATACAATAGTGTTGTAATCAATTTTTAAAAGAAATTGAATTTTTTTAAAAAAAACGAGATATATATTTTGCTATTGTTCTCTTACATGAATCTATGTAAAACAGACA